AGGTGGGCGCACACAGGGAGTACCAGGCAACAGCGAGACGGTGGGATCGGTGTGGCAGGCCGTGATCTCGGCACAGCTGTTATCACGTCAGGCTGGTGCTATTCACTCACTTCTTCCAGTTGGAAGGGGTTAGCCTGCTCCTGGTTGGGCCATGCTCTCAGCTCAATACGGTGCTCTTTAGAGCTGTCCAGTGCCAGCCCGCCTAGGCAGGGGGACCTGCTATATTAACGGAGCCAGGCTGAGCTATCGGAGGTCAGGGAGCGGTGCGGGGCGCAGGGGGTTGGCTGTAACGCTGCTGCCCAGTAGCTGGAACTCCCTGGGCTCTTCTCCGTTGGGACTCTGTCTCTTCTCTCCCTGCAGGATCCCTCTCCATGCCCCAAGATGCTGCCCCTGGCTCACCGGGTTCTCCTCCTTCCTACCCTCCTCTCCCTCCTCGTCATTCCCTCCTCTGGATTTTTTGGCTGGCTGAGGCAGGGCGCCGCTCCAGAAAAGGACCCTGTTCCCCCGACACCTGCTTCAGACCCGAGGAGACTCCCCCCTGCTCCTTTTGAGATGACGACCGGGGACGAGCGATTCCTGGCTGAAGCCAGGCGCCTGGATCTGTCGCCGCTGGACTCCTGTCACCATCAGGTGTCGCTGTGGCTCTTTGCCGCGGGAGGGCTCTCCGTGGGTTGGGCTGGACAGACCAGGAGGAGGGAGGGGGCCGTGCCCCAAAGTGTGTGCCGTCCAAGGCCCCGCTCCGGCAAGTGCTGGCGCACGCGCTGACCTGCCATGGGGCCGCTCCCTCTGCAGAGACGTTGGCATGATCCGGTCGTACGGCGCAGCGGGGACAGGGGGCAACCATGCGGCCTGGTCAGACCGGTGACTGGCTGCAGGCCCTGCTGGGTCCCGGTGGCCACCAATTGCATTGGTGTCAGCTGGAGTCTTCCGTAGCTGCCCCGCCCCTCGTTAGCTGGCTCCTGTCCTGCAAAGAGGGTCCTGGGGCCTGCACTACGAGGGAGTGGG